TGCTTGGCGCAGCGCCTGCCCCCGGGTATAAAGTAGCCGCGTGCGGGTGAGTGGCGGCGGGGATGCGGAGTCCTGGGTTTTGGGGGGCATCCCTTGAGGGCCGCTCTGGGCGAGCTGTCGGCCGCGCAGGATGGAGCGGGGTCGGGCGAGCTGGCTGCAGTCGGGCGGGTAAGTCGAGTCACGCTTCTCGGGGCCGGAGCGTCGCTGTCTCCCGAGCTTCCTTGCACCTGGACAGACCCCTCTGCTGCAAAGCTTTTCTTCTCGGGAAGTTTACCTTGCTTCAGCACCCGGGCTGCAGCCTCTTCCAGCAGCTTGAGCTGCACCTTCGTGACTGGATACAGCCCCAACAAGCCAGCAACTTGTTGCAAATAAATGCCTATGTAACAAAAATATTGGTGAATTATTCACACTGCTAGGGTATTATTATTTTTTTAAACTTGGCTATATATACCCCCAGCAGTGCAGCATCTGTGATTTCTATTTATCTGAATCCTGAGGCAGCAATGCCTTGGATGGGTGATCTCTTTTCTAACGCTTGTAAACGTCTGTCCCTGATTTACACTCTCTTCTTTGATGTGTCCGTTTCTTCTTTAGAAGGTTAAGTCTTTGGGCCTAAGCACCATGGATGTGCAGACCAGAAAAATGGCGCAGTTACTGGACAATGATCTGTTCTTGGAAAAAGTCGGGTAAGGATATTGCAGAATCTTTAATGGGGAATTCTTAAATGAAAGACACGCTTGTATGGAATTGTAAGTTTTTATATTTTTTTTCCACTTAAATAGTATATGTACTGTATTTGGGATGCTAAAAATGGGTCCTTACTTGTCAAATGTATGCAAACCAAAATGTTTAGCTCTTATAAGTGACTAACATAACAATGGTGTTTTCAGTGTTCAAACAATTATTCAGTTGAGACAATTGGATTAAAAAACTTACTGACTTACTCTGTAGGGTAAGCAGGGGCTCTGATGGACCATCAGAAAGAGGTCTTCCATCCCAGCGAAATGTTACAATAACAGATTTGGAGCTTGACAATGGATTGTTGGTTACACATGTCAACCAAACACAAGACCTGCTGGTAAGCAATTTTACCAAGTAAATACAATAATTTTTAAATTATTGTATACCTGTTTTAATTATTTAGATAGGAATAAATTAAGAAAAAGGAAAGGAGACAGCTATGTTAAGATGCTTGTTATTGCTAATCTCAGTTATCAAGGCATCCTGCTCCTTTACCCATCTAACACCCTCAGCACCCTCCAAATTGCACAAAAAACTGCTGTTAAAGTACTTGGCCCATCTTTCTGATTGGGTCATGCCCTTCCCTCTCACCTCTGAATTGCTCCATTTGAGGTGCAGACAGAAGTGACAATTTTTGCCTGATCTGGCTGCAGAAAGCAGCTTATAGCTATGACCAAGCACAAGTGCATGGCTTCAGACAGCTTAAAAAATGGCAGACCCCTCCTTTCATAAGATATCAGATGAAGACGTTTCAAAATGTAGCGTCTTTTGTAACTTGTATCTGGGGAGCTACTAGCCTGTGGCTGTTTTCAGAACGGGAGAGACCAAAGGGAGCAGAGGGAGTTCAGCCTGTGGGGTTTTCAGCCCCCCCAAGAGGGCTTCAGCACCAGCTGGGGAGCCCCAAGAATGAGCTGTCTGTTGCCTTTCCCCCCCTTCCCATTCTGAAAACAGCAAGCACTGGCAGAGAGCCTGGCCATTGCTATGGGAACTTGGCTGCAGGCTCAGATTTCCCTCAGCCCTGGAACCAACAGTGAACTTCTGTTTGGTCTGGGGTGTTGTAACTCAGAATGCTTTGCCGAACACATTCTGAGTTACAGTTGGGAGCTGCCCTTCTGTCTGCACCCTTGGTTCAGGCTTCATGTCCAAGCTTCTAAGCCATATATAATTTTTTATCGGCTCTGGTCTTGTTCTGAATTACCCCATGAGCAGAGTCAAGATTTTGTAAAGCGGGGTGTGGAGCAGTGACTGGCACTGCAGGGGTGGCTGTACCTTCACTTCCAACTTTCCCGCTGTCTTTCACTGGGATGGGCAGACCATTGGAGCAGCAGCCTTGGACCTTTTTTAAGGCCCTGAATCAAGTAAGAAACTTCCCTACCCTGCTCTTGGCATCCCCTCTCTTCCCTCCATATTCAGCAGCCAGAGCTGCTTCTGCCCTGCTTCAGCCAAGCTGCACAAGCAGCCAGGCTCAGCTGGGGCAGCAGTGGCAGGCAGATTCTCCCTTGTGCCTGTTCCCAAGCTTGAGGGGAACACCTGGGGTGGATTGGACAGGTAGGAAGAACCCACTCGCCATCACTGCTGCATTCCTGGGCTGAACTCAGCTCCCTGCAAAACCTAGCTAGAGTGGGGCAGGAACAGCTCAGGAGCAACCTCCACCCCTGGGCAGCTGAAGACAGAGGAAACCATGGCAGTGGTAGGCTGGAGGTGGGGAGTGGAATGGGAGAGAAGGGGTGGCATGCTGCTGAGAATGGAGCGGAGGACAGAGGGAGGTTTCTTACCAGACTCGGAGACTTTAAAAAGACACTGGCTGCTGCTCCCATGGCATGGTCTGAAAGGCGGGGTTGTGACCATGCCACTGCACCCCCTTTGGATTTGCCCCTGAATTGTCCCCTTTAGTCCAGTACTTTGTCAGAAGTATCAGCCTTACCTATTCATTTGTTAGTTATTTACTCAGATGTTTCCATGGCTTCATCTATACTGTGCCTATGCATGGAACACCCTTCTTGATTTCATTCACAAGGCTTCTGTTCTCTCTGCATTCAAGGCCTTTGTGAAGACCCAATTCTAATGTGGTGGTAACAGGGAAACTTACAGATTTTTTACTTGAAAGTACAGGCAATCAGGGATTTTTTTGAGTAAACTTTTTTATTGGAAAATGATACTTTGTTGAAATTAAATTCTAGTAGGAGCATCAGTTTTAACAAAATCTTTGGGAATGCTTCTCAGGTACAGGTTGGAAGTCTGATCTAAGCATTAGGGATAGACTGACCCCCATCTACAACCATGAGGCTTAGAATTGTCCATTTATTAAGCTTCTTGAATTTGGTTTTCTCACAATGCAATCAAGCCCCTGCTGTAAGCAGGCAGAGCAGTGACCTGGACCTGTTTTTCCTATATCCCAAATGAGTACCCTACCACAGGGCTATAGATCTGGTGTTTCTGTGGCCAGTAAATGTTTAGTTCATTACCCAAAATTGAATAGCTCCAACAGAATAGGCTGAGAGAGATCCACTCTATAATAACTAATGGTGTTGTGGGTAGGGCACTTCCTGGGAATGAAGGAGCCCCAAAATAAAATTCCTGCTCTGAAAAATTTCAGGTTTTCAGTTTTGTCTAGATGCAGAACAAGAAAAAACTGAAATCTCAAACATTTTCATACAAGAGAACTTTTTCCCACCCAGCTCTATTTACAACTTCAATAAGCAGTTAGAAAATAACTTCAGTAAGCAATTAAAAACTATCTATATCTCTAATTGAAGATCCATGTTAATCTTATATCCATGACCTAATCGATCATGATTCATGACTGGTTACTGCTTTTTTCTTAAAGAGAAACAAACATGAAAAAGAGTGGAAAAACTTGAGCTTCTTTCTCATTCTATAAATAATTAAGTTATTGTGAACCAGTATAATGAAGAGGGATGACAAAATAGTGACCAATTATTTATTTGTGTGAATTGCGTATCAAAAGGAAATACCATATTTACTCAAATAGATAACCCTGATTATAAGACAGCCCCCCTGGTCATTAGATTCTGTATATGGAAAGTTGATAAATTTATTATAATTTTCCAGGTATAAAATTTAATTATTGGAAATTTGCCACGAATTTGTTCCCCCTCCCACTGCTACAGCAGGGAAAATAAATCTGGGGGGTCAGGTAGCCCTGTTGCGCTCTCCTTCCCTGCAACTTTTCCCTGGCAGCCCCTTGCCCCTCTCCTTACTGTCAGATCTTGCTCTCCCTGAGCACATGGAAGTGAGGAGCAAATTTGAAAACAATAACCTTGAAATGAAAACTGGCTGCAGTAATTTACATATAGTAC